AAATAAAAAGTTGTCACACCTTCTATCCAGCTACTTTATTGCCAACCTCCTTTGAAGCCTCATGTTTTAACTTAACTGTATTGATGGGGCTTTAAGGAGACCGACTCTATATCTAAGGGTTGGATGATCAATGAACACAGTAAGATTTTGAAGCCCATGATTTCACACATTATGGAAAGGAAGCGCTGTATAAATGGTTTGGGCAAACCTCTGTTACCACCTTTAAGTCAGGCAGTCCAGTTCCAGGGATTTCTGCCCAGAGAAGATGGACAGGTCGACTCTGCAGTAATGTCCAGGAGGAGCATCCGAATACTTATTAGTGTTAGTAGAAACCTTTCCTGGATTGGTTCAGGCATTTGCATGCTGACCTGAAAGGGGCGAAACGTTATAAAGGCACTGCTTAAGGAAATAATACCTAGGTTTGGACTCCCCCGGGGCTTTTTAAAGGGACATTGAGCCAGCTTTCACGGTGGCCATAATAAAGGGAATAGCGAGAGCTCTCCAAATTAGGTGACCACAGTCCTCAGGAAAAATGGTAATAAAATACTCAAAAAGACCCTGGCCAAACCGTGCCAGGAAATCCATGAGACCTGGCTTAATTTACCACCAATTGCCCTAACCTGCATCGGGGCAATACCTAAAGGAATGCTTAAATTAGGTCTTTTTGAAATTATGTATAGTAGGCCCTTTGGGGGCTCCTCTAAAATTTTAGGATATCTGGACCCATTTCTAGAACAGTCTGTTAAACATATTATTCAACTAGGAAAGGTAACTGAACACAAATAAATATGCTATTCTGATTTTAACCACACCAATTAATACTAAGCTACACCCATATAATTCAGGGACCTGGGTATATTTTAAAACCTGGAAATCAGGATCCCTGCAAGACCAACCAAACCCAATATGGACAGGTTCTCATTTAGTGTTATTAACAATTCATTCTTCTCTTAAACCATAAGATATAGCTTCCTGGCCCAGGCAGTGTTGCTCGGTGGTTGAGCATCGACCTATGAACCAGGAGGTCATGATTCCATTCCCGGTCAGAGCAGATGCCTGGGTTGCAGGCTTGATCCTGGGGGAGGTGTGGGAGGGGTGGAGGAGGCAGCCAATCAGTGACTCATCGTTGATGTTTCTATATCTCTCTGCCTTCCTCTCTCTGAAATCAATAAAAACATATTAAGAAAACACACACAAAGATTTTTCAAAAACCCAAAGCTATAGCTTCCTGGATTCATCACTCTCCAGTTAAACCAGCTTTATACTACCCAGCGAGATAAAGAAGCAGATCCATAGTACTCCTGCTAACTTCTGTGTGACCGAAAGCTGCTCTTCAAAAGACCAGATAAGTGATGACTATTTTGCACGCCTATTCTCAGAAATCCCAGGACCTAGGGGACCCCCAAGACTTTCATAAATCAGGCAGCCAGAGAATTTCCCTCCTCTAACTCAAAGACGTACTCCATCCATGTTCAGCTGGAAATAGTTACAGAAGTATGACCCTTGGCCCCATTACTTCAGGGTAAGGAGTAAAAAAATCTCGGGGGAATTGCTAGGTAGGACAAGGGTCTCAAGGTCTGGGAGGTTCTTACTAAATGCTCTTCTTGCTAAATGTGAAAATGTAACATAGGATTTTGCAGACCAGATGTAAACAGAATGAGCTGACAGGAACTCAGCTGCTAAGTGTAGCCAACTGCAAAGAAAAACACATGTAACTGACCAGATAGAGTGTGTAGGCATGGCCAAGCCTCCCTTCAGGGAGCCAGAGCTTTAGCTGTGAAGCTCCTGTCTCCTTTACTTGCTGCAAGTAAATAAAAGTATCTTGCAACACCACAGCTCGTTCTTGAATAGAACACTTCAAGCAGCAAGCCCCTTGAGTTCAGTAATAATAACAGGAGAAACTGCCCTCCTATCTCCCACCCCTTGCCTTTCTGTTCTGAGTCAGCTTTGCTGTTGTTGTTAATCCTCACTTGAGGATATATTTTTTCCCATTGATTTTTAGAGAGAGTGGAAGGGATGGAGGGATCAGGGGTGGGGACGGAGAGAGAGAGACGTGGACGTGAGAGAGACACATTGATCAGTTGCCTCCCCCATGCACCCTGACCAGGGCCGGGAATTGANGCACACCCTGACCAGGGCCAGGAATTGAACCAGCAACCCAAGTACGTGCCTTTGACCAGGAATGGAACCTGTGGCCCTTCGGTGCTCGAGCCGGCACTCTAAGCACTGAGCCACACCGGCCAGGGCCTGAGGCAACCTTTTAATCCTTTCAGCTGATTACTTGAGGAGTATTCCCACCAAAATGTATAACTTGAAATCTAATCATAAAGGAACATTAGACAGACCCAAACTGAGGGGACACTGTAAAATATGCGATCTGTGTTCTTGAAAAATGTCAATGTTATGAAAGACAAAGGCTGAGAATTGTTCCAAATTTAAAGGGACATGACAACTAAATGCAGTGTGTGATTCCAGACTGGAACCTATATGGAAAAAAAATTTCTGTAAAGAACATTATTTATTGAGTCAATTGGCAAAATTGGATCAGATTTAGAATACTGTACTGTTTTCAGATTTATGATATTGTAATTAATACTGAATTGTATTAAATAAAAGCTTTATATTCAAATTAGAATACTGTATTTATTATTAGATGTTGTATCTAATTAATACTGTACAGGCTCCTCTCACAGACACCAAGGAGGTGTTATCGGACAGCCCCCTGAGTCAGAGGTAGAGGGCTGTCTCCACCTCGATTCTTGTCATGCTCTTACTAATTCAAACAAGTGACTTCAGATGATTGCGTTGTGATAAAGCCAATTTATTAAAAATTAAAGCATACACAGTTATTATAGAAGCAAGGCAAGCAAATCTATACATCTGGCTTATGAAGCACAGATGGGCTCTCAGCTGATCTGAAGAGCGAGTGGGGTGGGGGGGATTTCTGCCTTATACAACCTCTTGTCTATAGGTGTTTTGTTTTTTAATTTCTTTACTAGATATCCTGGTATAGATTTACTCTGAAGGTCTCGCCTTTTCTTTGATATGGCTTTTCCTAGAATTTATGAGAAGCACCTGGCAATTAAATCCTAAGACTGCTGGCTTCTCTGTTAAACCAGGGGTGGGGAATGTCCAGCCCGAAAAATCATTTGGTCTGGCCCTGCCAAGGCAACCACAGGTGGGACTCATAATTCAATAATTTCAATTAAATATTTGACCAAATAGAGCAGCCTAATTTTTAAGTTGATAATTTTGTATGCCCGAGAATGATATTATAAATGTCCAAATGGTTCTTGGCAGAAAAAAGGTTCCCCATCCCCGGTAAACAGTGGGATAAGATAAGACCACTTTTCCTTTCCCTCCTCCCTGCTGTCTTAACAGCTCCAGGATGACTTGCACTAAGTAGTCTCTGGTTTTGTGAGGAGAGGTTTTAACCCTTTTTTTGCTAGATAAAGTCCTGCTCTCAGCGGCCTGCAAAGTTTTTTGGCTTTAATTTTCCTGTCTCAGTTTCCCTATTCCACTTGTCCCGGAATTTTCCTAGCTTTTCATTGTCCCACAACAATACTATGTTGTATTCAGTTTTAGAACACTGTATTTTATTCAGGTTTAGAATGTTGTCTTTAGGTTTAAATTAAAGCATTATATTCAGATTTTTCTGAAGTTGAAAGCTATTCATATTATGTAAGAGAATGTCCTTCTTCTTAGGAAGTACACACACTATTAAGAGATATTGGGGCAGGTACAGCCAGTATGGAAGTTCCTCAAAAAATTAAAAATGGTACTATCATGTGATCCAGTAATCCCTCTTCCAGGTGTATATCCACTATCTTTAACGGTCATCTGCACTCCTACATTCATTGCAGCATTACTCACAAAGCTAAAACATGAAAACAACCTAAGCATCTATTGACAGAAAATGTCACACACACATGCACACACTGGAATGTTATTCAGCTACAAGAAAAAAAGGAAATCTTGCCATTTGCGACAATATGGATGGACTTTGAGGGCATTATGCTAATGAAATAAATCAGAAAGACAAATACTGTATGATCTTGTTTTGTTTTTACAGTTAGGATAGGTGACATTTACTTTTCACAAAGAAGGGAGTCCTTACTTTCTCATCTGGAGAGATGGGAGAGCCAGGCCCCACCTGACAGGTGACTGCACTGATTTCCAGAGGAAACCCTTGCAAGTAGTGTTTCCTCTCTCCTTTCGGGCTCTGCCTTCTTCATGAAGCTCCACATTTCACCCTCAGCTCTCTCTGGACTCTGAACTATAAAGGGTGAATCAGACACGGCTACTGACTCAGGCGTTTCCAAAGCAACACATGATAAGTGCTGCAGCCTGAAGAAGGAAATGCTTTACACATCCCCAGACTGAAAGGGGATGCTGGGGTAGGGCTTGTCAGGGAATCGACAATGATATGGAGACTTGCAAGTGTGTAATAGAAGGAGCACCTGGACAGGCAAACAAACCACACAGTTTATTTTTACATAATAAATAAGTGGCAAAGAAAATACACGAAAGGAAATATTCACGAAATCCAAGTCACTGAAGTGCTTTCAAACAAATTTTAAAAGACCAAGAAACCTGGGATGACCTTAAAACACTGTTTATAGATAATCAACAATTGTTTAAATATGATCTCATGTAATTTCTGAAAGGGGAAAGCATGGCTTTTTTTTTATAGGATCTTTTTAAAAAAAACATGCTTTTATTGATTTCAGAGAGAGTAAGGGAGAGGGAGAGATAGAAACAATGATGAGACTCATTGATCAGCTGCCTCCTACACACCTCCTACTGGGGATGGAGCCCACAATCTGGGCATGTGCCCTGACCATGTATCGAACCATGATCTCCTGGTTCATAGGTCGACACTCAACCAGTGAGCCACACCAGCCGGGCATGGCTTTGTTTTTTATGAACTCCAACACACATAGCAGAACAAATGAAACTCAGGAGAATGCAAAATTATTGCCTGGCAAGAAAATTGAAATGTCTGAAGTCAAGTTCAAGATAAAGATAATATAAGTCATTCATATGTCTGCATGGGGTCTTCACGATTTATAAACACATCTGATTCTCTGAAGGTTAAGTACTTTTATATTTTTGAGTTTGGAGTGAGGATATCAGACCTAACCTATTAATTGGCACAGTATATTGAACCAAATCTCAAATGATGCCCAGCAGCGAAAATGCTGTTTGAACTAAAGCTTTCCCTCCTCAAGTTCTACAGAAGAAAATAAAATTTTTACACCAAATTAACTGGTTCAAGTGCCTTTAAGGAGGAGTGGTTTCCATTCTAGAACAAGATGGAGTTTTTCCTAAGTCACCAGCGCATTTGTCTTCTTAAAACAAGTGGCACTGAATTTTATCCTGACACTAGGAAGACAATCTAACTGAGATGATTTGTCCTGGACAACTTTTGTTTTTTGAAAAAGCCAAAATGAAGAATTTGCGTATTTCCAATCTTTGAGGGTGAGACCTGTGGGCCTCAGAACTCTCCCACCTTCCCAGGCTAGAGCCCCTCCAGCCCCTCAGGACCTGAGTATCCTTGAGCATTGCCCCCCTGGTACACCTTCTTGGTTTCCTGACATGCGGAGCTAGAGAGATCAATGGCAACATCTTCCAAGTCATTCTCAGGGCTGCCTTCATTGGAGAATCTCTGAGATCTTGCCTGACTTGGACTAGAACCTTCCTTGAGGTGGTCAGGGCCCCAGAGTCCAGCCAGCTTTTCTTCATTTCCTGTTTTACTTAACATTCCCGTGGATTTTTTATGCATCCCTTGCAAAAAAAAAAAAAAAAAAAAAAAAGATATCTCTAAATTCAGCAATTAAGTAAATTTCTTCTGTTATTTTTCTCTAAGTCCCATTAGAATTGCCCTTGTCAGTACCTCTCTCTGGGTCCTCAGGAGAGTCACATAGGTAACTCCCACTGTTAGGGGTTGCAAACTGGTGTGTGCCAGCCAGGTGCAGCCAGCAAACTCACCTTGTTTAGATGACACAGTGATTTAAATTTTATTTTAAAAATCCTTGCCAACATTTTAAAATCAGGAGATTGTACATCAAAAGCCAGACTTCCAGCTTCTCTCAAAAAGTCAGAATGTCTGGCAACACTGAGCCCAATTTCTTGTACGGCCATGAACCGGCAAATATCAGTAGGCACCCCCCACTCACCCACCCACCCCACCCTCATCC